TCGTGTTTCATCAGGGGACCAAACACTCAAAAACAATAAAACACTCGCGCTTCGCGCTCGTGTTTCATACAGTTTTCTCGTGTTTGGATCCCCTGATGAAACACTCAAACTCGTTGTTTACATATAACATCTAAACCTATACACAGCAATTATTACTCTCATAGTTTTTCGCAAACAAAAAGTTCTGATAAGTTTCCCAATTCATGCCTTTCATTTCTTCATTAAAACACACGTAAGGAGTTTGAAGCATAATTTGGACGATTTTCAAAACCATTTGTTGCATGAATTAGACCATAACTTTAGTATAATTTGAATATCCGAAACAAGAATAATTAACACAGGCTGTCTTGATTTCAATCCTAACATTCCAGGATATAATTTTGAAAATGTCCCAACTCCACTCTCCACTGGGGGGGGGGGGGTTGGAATGTATGTAGATAGTAATCTAAACTATAGAATAATTGAAAAAAGTTCCAATGAAGCGTTTCAGGCTCTTTGGGTTGAAATTGAATTTACTGACAAGGCTAATATTATATGCACAGTAATTTACAGACAACATAACTCGCCAGAGTGTTTCCAAAGTTATTTTGAAGATATCCTATAGGAAACTTGATACCTCAAACAAGCCCAGTGGTGGTGCCAGAAAGTTCCCGATGCAGGGGCTAGGTTCCCCGACGGGGGGGCGGGGGAGGGCTATGCAAATTTTTTCATGGTTATGCATATATAAAACGTATTTTATATAACTAAAATATACAATTGAGCAAGCATAATGTGTTCTTTATAAAGTATACGAATCAATATACAAAGTTTATACAGTAGGAAGTTCAGACACGCGTGTCCCTTGTGGACACATAAAATTTTAGGAAGTGTAGTTATTATCCATGACCATAAGAACTCCCACAGAAAAAACCATCCAAATTCAAAGTGAAATTCTGCATTTGGGAAATCTGGCCTTGAACTTATCTACTACGTTATCGAAGTCCAGTTTTTCTCCTCGCTCGTGGTGAATTCCCAACATCATAAGGCTGTCTAGATCCTCCTGTTTCATTACTGAATGGAGTTCATTTTTTATCAGCTTCATTGAACTAAAATTTCTTTCACATTCAGCTGATGAAACAGGTAAAGTACAGGCAATCAGAACAATGCGATGCAGCTCAGAGAATGCTTCCTTTAACGTCTCCAGGTAAGATAGCATCTGAAGAAGTCCTTTTGGGTGATCTTCCTTGTGCTTTTGTTTAAGTAAGTGATGAAAGGTTGCTATTTCGCAGCGCAGGCAATCGGTATTGACGTTAAATAACTTTGCAAAAGCCACAAGCGAATCTTCATCTAGGAAGCTGGAAGAACTTGGGCACAATGAAGTAACACCTTGCATCATAACAATATTCTTCTCGTCAAATCTTCTTTTAAGTTCTGCATTTACTTTGTCTACCATTTCGTAAATGTCTCGAACGAATTCATCGAAACCCGCTTGTCCCAGTCAACAGTAAGGTCCAACTTCTTTGGCATTGTATCACCCAAGGTTAAGCAAATATTATGGAGGACCATACATGCAAGTGCAAATGTGCGAACATTTGTACTGGTACTTTCACATTTTCTGAGTAAAACACGCCACCTGCCTTTTAACTGGCCATATGCTCCTTCAGTAACCATGCGAACGCGACTTAAATGGTAATTGAAGTATCGCTGTTTTGGTGACAACGCTGCATTGGTGTAAGGTTTCATCAGCCATTGTGCAAGTGGGAAAGCAGAATCGCCAACTATCAGAGGAGGAACAGTTTGCATGCCAACCTTCTTGCCCATTGAAGGTAGACCATCACCGTCTTTGATATTTGACCATAGCTCAGTTGATTGAAAAATAATGGAATCATGCGAGTTTCCTGGATAGCCACAGCTCCCCCAAATGAATCGGTAGTGTGAGTCAACCAATGCCATGAGTACTATAGAATAAAAGTTCTTAAAGTTATTGTATTCTTTGCAAGCTTCCATTCCACCTGGAGGACATTTAAGAGGAATGTGACAGCCATCGATCGCTGCCCAGCAACAAGGAAACTGCCACATTTCTTCCATATCTAAGATTTTATTATGAAACGTATCCTCTGAATTTGGCATGTATTTGTTAACGCTCTCATCCCATAACACTTCAACAATAGCTTCAGATACCTCTCTGGTTATTGTGGCAACTGTTGACAGTCCAAGACCACACAATTCGGATATAGTGTGGTAATATGTCCCACGACCAAGACGATACAGGCAGATAGCTAGACGAAAAGCTGGCTCTACCGGCTCTTCTACAACAGCTTTTCTTTGCAAAACATGGCGTATTTGCTCAAGAATGAAAGAAAAGGTATTTCTTGACACTCGGAAAGTCTTCTTAAATCGAGCATCAGAATATGTTTGTGACACAATATACCACCAACCTGGATTTCGTTCAAATCTCCGACATGAACGTGTAGTAGGTGCAGCTGCATTTCTTCCAGACAAAAGCAGAAGCGCTATCACAAAGGAGATTTTAACTACAATCTTGGCCATAAACCGTAGGACGACGATAAATTTTTATGCATTTTTAATTAAATTATGGCCTCCCCCTTCCCCCCATTCAATGTTGCTGTTTTGTGTATATTTATGATCTGACCTACTGTACAACAAAATTGTACGTGTACTAGAAATGTGGGAGAACAACATTGAATGGGGGGAGCGGGGGGAGGTGCAAAATAATTTTAAAATCCAAGTATATTAAAAAGTTGCGAATTTGTCTTGTCGTTCTACGAACTTTTGGCCAAGATTGTCCGAAAATAATGTTTTTAATCCTTGACATATATATGTATTAAATTTAGAACACCAGTTGTAGAAATATTCAAACATGTACTTATGTTCTTGTACTACTGGCTAACACTTCAAAAGTCATTCTGGTATTCCTAAATATTGAATGATAGGTAGATATTAATAAATATTGTATACTGTAGTTTGATATCGGATTTCTGGGTTAGACCGGGCCTTAATCTTCTCCTCAAATTGCATATATGTCTATTTTGAACCGGACAGTAATGGTTATAAAGGCAGACTGATGCAACGTAATTATAGATATATTTTAGTATACATATTTTCAGTTAAAGCTACACACGCCAATTGACAAATAGAACTTTTAATTGATCTTGCTGTGTAAGATCCAGCATATCATAATTATAGATATGAGGAATATATCGCGTGCGCAACAACGAATCGTGTTTATAGCCACGTACAGCAGAGCGGACACTCAGACTATTTCTTACAAAAAAGAGCTTTTCTGATGCCATTGTAGAGGCATAGACGGTGTCAGGCTTTACGATTGAACATTGGGTCATCCTTATGATGTGATGTTGACCAAATAATTAAGTCTGGTGTCGTATCGGACAACATATTAATCTATATATAGATATAAATTAACTCTAGTAGCTTAATAACTAACTGACAGTACTCGTGAACAGTACTCACAGTAATTGCTTAATTTTTCGTCGGATTGTAAATAAATACATAAAATATACACAACATTTTGTTCATTGTTACAGTCCTTACAATCTCATGGCAAATAGGTAAAACAAATTGTAGATTTGAAGCAATAATTGACATTACTCATTAAAACTTCCAAACTTAATTTGAGATATAGACATTGTCTTAACTCATGTTATGGCGAGTACTGTGATTGTCCTTTCCAAAGGCCCAATTTTCCTACAAAATACCAACAAACAGAATTGCGACACTTATGCCAACATTTAAAAACATTTTATTTCAGACAGTGAAATCATATATGTTCGCTTAGCTCTCGTTTCATTGAGTACTGCCACTGAGTACTGAGTGTCACCGTACAGAAAGTCCGGCGGCCCGCGCGTCTAACAATTACATATTGATTTGCAGCGTATTATTATATCGCAATAAGCTCTTGCAATTACTCTTTGTTATGTAAAATGAAGTAGAAAATTTCCCTTGTTACATTACTTGCGCAATTTCATGTATGTTCGCTTAGCTCTTGTCAGTTCATTGAGTATACTGTCACTGAGTACTAGTGTCACAATACAGAAAGTCTGGCGGCCCGCACGTATAACAATTACATATTGATTTGCAGTGCATTATTATATCACAATAAGCTAAGAAACCACTCGATCTTTATAGAGCATGCAGCACATGTGATTGGGAATCAAAAATTTTTTTTAGTGTTATGTCTGAGATTCTCTCTTTTATTTCTTCAACAAGATCTTGTTAAACTTACCTATCACTCGCTTGACAATTCAACTTGTAGACCTCTCTGCAACATACTGGATTTCTGGCTTGTCTTTACTTCTTCCCAATGCTTTTTATCTAAGAACAGATAAATAAATTATTAATAAACCAGTTATCTCATGTATGAACTCTAGGGACTATTGAAGGGTTTGATAAGTCACATGCGAACCATAACTGAATAAGAGAGGTGGAGAAGGATCTTACTTACTAGCATTCCAAAGGTCATAGGTTCGAATTACACCATAGCCAGGCATATTTTTCAAGCTCGCCCGGTGTGGATATACACTCAAGCCCTGTTTACACCACGCTCAATTTTTGGTACGGCACGGATAAAATTGATACCCGTACCACTTTTTTGGTTCTTGGACTACCTATTTAGGTAGTCCAAGAACCAAAAAGTGGTACGGTACCAAAAACTGAGCATAGTGTAAACAGGGCTTAGCTAAATAGGTAGTCCAAGAACCAAAAAAGTGGGACGGGTACCAATTTTATCCGTGCCGTACCATAAATTGAGCGTAGTGTAAACGGGGCTTCAGAGTAACATCACAAATATCATTATTACTTAAGTTTTCGTTATTTTGTAAATGTTACCATATTTGATTGATTGATTTGATCCAAAATAAATTTAGATTAAAATTTAATTAACTTCGTCTTTGATAGCTGTTACCAGCAAGCTTACCATAATCTATTTGGTACAGTAATCTTTGGTCGAAGCTATTTCTCAGACATTTCAAAGCCTTTAGACTCTTTGTGTTGGTTGCATTTCTACCACTCATATCTTTTATTGTAGCATTGCTACAACCAGCTATACTGATACTTTGAGTTTCATTATGTCACAAAATTTGACTAATGCTTTGTTGATATCCTGTTTTGGTATAAATTAAAAGCAATAGGTACATTATTTACTATGATTTGAGCTGCATTAATTAATATTTAAACTTGACTTTACAAATGACCATTTAACTCTCCTGCAATTCAACACTGAGAATGTTGACATTAGTTGACATTGTATACAGAACTCAAGTTCTTTGAACACCCCCTTTTCCAAGAGTGCAACTGGTCATAGGAGATTTTATTACTGCGCTGTGTCCTTATGGAACGAACTTCCAGAGAACATTACATGTAATTTAGTGCAGAGCAACAAATGTTCAAATGTTATGGCTAATTTGAATTTGAAAGAGTGTACATTTTTTATACACCCTGTACACATTAATTGGCTCCGAAAAGCCGCATTGGGGAGAGTTCAATAAATTATTATTAACATATTTCAAATAGGTGTTTGGATTCCTGACTTTTTGGATCTTTATGTACTCCCAGAACAGTTCCTTTTAAGCTAGGAAACAATTTTTTTTATTTTCAATATAAATATAATACATGCAGTATTTCACATATTATTAACCCTGACAGTAATGTTTTTGTTGATTCAGCTTCACATATGTAAAGTCATAACTTGTAAGCCACACATACTGTATAGTTAGTCATTGAATCATGATAATACAAAAACAACATTACAACCTCATACTTACTTCAATGTTCAGAGCAGCCAATGTGTCTAAAGTATTCGAACTTATACCAAAAGCAAGTTGAAATTTGCCATCTATTTTTACATTATTATTATTATTAATTAATTCTCCAAACATTTGGTTTTTCAGATTAATATACATGTAAATTATATCTAAATTATTCTATTGTATATTTACAGTTTAAAATCGTTAACATTAGATAAGTTCAATTAAGATTTTAAAAGAAAAAGTTCAAGCAGATAGTTATAAAAATTATCATGTACAGTAATGTTACTAGGTAGAGAGTTCCACAGGGATACTGCTCGGTATGCAAATGTTCGTTGTCCGGCCGCCGACCTATATGCTGGAATGTTTAGTTTTTGTTTATTTCTGGTGTTTCTATTGTGTATAGATAATCTCTCCTGAAAATATGAATTGAGATAGTCAGGGGCTAGTCCATTCAAACATTTGAACATTAGAAAGCCAACAAAGTATTTTAACATGTCTGGGACAGGTAGCCAATTCAGTTGTTTGAGTATTGGAGTAATTGGAGTATTATTCCTGTGATTATTCTCGCCGCGAATTTTGGCACTTTTTGTGATTTTTCTATGTTCTTCTTGGTCGTACTGGACCATACATTTGAGCAATAATACAATTTAGAAAATACTAGGGACGAGATGACATTTTCCAAAATCCTAGGGTCAAAAAGATGTTTGACCCTGTTTATCGGACATAAGCTCGCAATGCAAGTAGAAACAGTGTTTGCTATATGTTCGTTAAAACTTAGTGTTGAATCAAGTTGAATCCCAAGATCGCGTGCTGAAATTGTGGGAGTAATCCTTTTCTCAAGTAATGTCACATAAAAGTCATCCGGTAATCGTTGCAACATTTTGTGTGTTCCTGGTACTAACACTTTGATCTTGTCTGGATTAATTAGTAGACTATTGTGACAGCACCATGCTGTGATTTTTGACAGGTCTTCATTGATATTCCGCATAACTTCACTAACATACTTGATGGGAAATGAAAGATACAATTTTGAATCATCTACATACGATTTCAAGTCACCGAAATTCGGGATGGTGGGCAAATCATTAAAATATATATTGAACGAAGCAGGTCCTAATATCGAACCTTGCAGTACACCATGATTGATATGACCTGGTTCTGACACAACTGAGCCAATCTTCATCTGCTGCGTCCTTCCGGTCAAGTAACTTTTGAACCATTCTAAGGCGCCAAGGCTTAGGCCTAATGCTTTTAGCTTTGTTAAGAGTTTGCGGTGATCTATACTGTCAAACGCTTTTGACAAATCCAGCAATACTATGACTGTCAGTTCTTTTGAGTCCATTGCTTTAAACATCTTGTCTGTGATAAACACGCCAAGAGTCTCACATGAATGTAGTTGTTTATTACCACTTTGATGTTTACTTAGGCATTTCTTTTTGTTCGTATAAGAGGTCAGTTGATTTAGAGCTACTCGTTCACAAATTTTAGAAGTCGCTGGTAGTAACGATAGTGGTCGATTGTTATTTGCCACTTCGTGATCTCCCTCTTTAAGAAGTGGTATTACTTATGATATTTTCCAGGCTGATGGAAAGACTGAAGTCTGTAACGAGCAATTTATCATGTCAGTAATAACTGGGAGAATACATGGAAGTGCATCCTTTATCGTAGACATTCGTACTTTGTCATGGCCAGGAGCTTTGTTCGATTGGAATGCCATTACTGTCCTTCGTACTTCCCCACACGAGACAGGAACAAAACTAAAATTTTGTGACTCAGCAACAGCCAGCGAAACACTTGTTGGAGGTGCAGGCAGGTTATATAATTCTATTAAAGATGTGCAATCTTCTGATACTCTCCTACCAACCGAGGTGAAAAAGTGATTAAACTCATTAGCAACTTGTTTCATATCCTTTGTGTAGACTTGTTGAGTGCTTTCTTTACGATGAATACAATTAATTATCTTCCACTTTGAATTAGTGTTGTGACTGTGCTCTAGTCCTTTCCGTACATATTCCCTTTCGGCATCTCTCAGCTTGGATTTTACTTCTTTTCTTAGTTTACGATACATTTCCCAGTCTGTTGCTAATTTAGTACTTCGAGCTGTTTTCAATAGGTTATTTCTGTATTGCATAAGTTCTTGAATTTCTGTGCTAATAAAGGGGCAGCTGCGGTGTTTAATCCTCACTGTTTTCACAGGTGCATGTGTTTCCATTACATGGAGAAACCTCTCATTGAAATGGTCTAGCATTTCATTTGCATCATCCATGATGGAAATATCATACCAAGGTATTCGTTGTAAATCCGCAAGGAAACTATCAGGTTTGTAGTTTTTGTAGGATCTCACACATTTATAACTAGGTGGCAGCTTCGACATCTTAAGTTTGAAAGAAGCATATATTAGATCGTGATCACTAATGTGAGATAAAGCCACCCCATGATTTTCTACTAAACTGACATTCGATTTTCTAATAATATCAATAAGGGAAGATGACATTTCTGTTACTCGTGTAGGTTCTTTTATCAATTGAGTTTGATTCACACTTGTACAAAAATCTAGTAGCGACATAGCCTCTGGAGAATCCGGTTTCAGCAAATCACAATTTAAATCACCTACAACAATTATCTCTTTTCCTAATGTGAGAGCATGTATATAATTTTCCATGAAAGTATCATGAAAGGTTGAAGTAGGACAATAATCAACCCTATATGTCACACAGAGGAGAATTGATCTTAGTTTCCTGAGTTGTATTAGCATCCATAGCTGATGAAATCCGAATTCAGATATCCCTGTTATGTTTTTGAGACATTTGACTTTAATCGACGATTTAGAATAGACACAAACACCCCCTCCAGTCTTTCCCAAACGGTCCAATCTTGTTAGTTTAAAGCCCTTGATTTCTACTTCCGCGTTTGTCACCGTGGAGTTTAACCACAACTCTGACAAGGCTAAAATATCATAGTTCCTGTCCTTCATAAGTTCTCGAACCTGTATAAGATGATTCCTATTCTTAATTCAGCGAACATTTAGGTGGGCAATTCTAAGTTTCGATCTTTGCATATCCGAAAGCGGTTTGGGAACATGTTCTTTTGTCATCGCAGTTAGGGTCTTTTCCCCTAGAGTTTACAATTTGAATATACATTGCATAACAGAGACAACCATCTTAAAACCTATTGAGTGGTGAACAACAAAATTATTCATATCTTATTGCATGCAGCAGCCTGCATTTGGATGTATGAGAATGTTTAAAAATGGCAATATGTTTTAAAACCAATAGCATAGCCATAGCTATGAAGGGTGATCAATATCAAAAACATCATTCAATGATTCTATACTTCGTTGGATGATTATTCATGTTGTTTAATGATTATGCAAGTTGTTAGATGATTACGTGTTTGCCCATTTCACATGTTTCGTTCGATGATTCCATATGCTGTCATTCCGTATGACGTTCGATGATTCTGTATGCTGTCATTCCGTATGACGTTCGATGATTCTGTATGCTGTCATTCCGTATGACGTTCGATGATTCTGTATGCTGTCATTCCGTATGACATTCGATGATTCTGTATGCTGTCATTCCGTATGACCACAGTATGACGTTCGATGATTCTGCGCCTTCAAGCAAACTAGCCTGCGGATTCTGAGCCATTGTCTGTTGCTTGTCTAGCACATTTCTACACTAAAATATTTTAGGGAATGGATGCTATAGTCCATTACGGAAGAAGAATCCTTATTGAAATAACTTCTCAACTAGAGCAGCACAATATTGGCTCGGACCAAATAGACTACGCAAAATTTCGTTTAGAGTGGTTTACCAGTGTATTTATACTGTGGTACAACCAAGCAAGAAATGGAAGGATGCTCAGGATCATTCCATCGACAAATATAGAAAATTTAGATTTTATGTTTATATATATGGAATAGCCGATATATTGTTTATCTTACCTGAAATTCTCATTTACCCTTTTCTGACTCACTGTACTAAACGATGTTGATGGCATCGAAAATGAACTTTGGCCACTATACAATACAATACAATATGATTTATTAGTTTATCCCCATAAGGGCTTTTCATAACTAATTTACAAATAAGTGTAGTAATATGATATTTACATGCAATTATTTAGAACTTATGTTAAAAAGATAGATTGTCTGTAGCTAAACTAGAATTACAGTAACTGTATATTACGAGGACTATTAAAAATTAATTCTGTCTATTGATTAACTCTGTTCGTACAGCCTTTTTAAATCCTCCTAGAGTTGAAATGTTTTGAGTTGAAAGATCAAATGAGTTCCACAGCAGTGCTGCATGATTAAAAAAGGATCGCTTAGCTTTAGATGTTCTACATCGTAATATGTTTATGAAGTTGCGAACGGATTACTAGCTTGGAACTAAGATAGGCAGGTGCAAGACCATGAACTATTTTATACATCATAATAGCATTACGGTACAATACAACCATCCAAGCTTATCTAAAGCCGGGGTGATATGATCATACTTTCTAGTTCCGGTTACGATTCGTGCTGCAAAGTTCTGTACTTGTTGTAGTTTCTTAATGTTCTTTTGGGTGGTGCCAGACCAAACCGTGGAGCAATAGTAAAGTTTGCTAAATACTAGGCAGTTTATCATGACCAACAAGGCATCCTTGTCGAACAAGTGTCGAACTCTGTTGATTTGACACAGACTTGATGTTAGGGTCGACGTCAATGAATTGATATGATCGTCAAATGTCAGAGTGGCATCGAAAGTGAGACCAAGGTCTTTACAAACTGTGACAGGTGTAAATATTTTTCCTAGAAAAGGAATTGATAAGTTTGGCAGGTTCTTTATCGATTTCTCCATTCCAAATATCATAAACTCTGTCTTCAAGGGATTTATTAGAAGCTTATTAGAACAGCACCATTCTGCTATACTTCTGAGATCTTGGGAAAGGCTTAACAGGCCAAGGACGGCTTCTGATAAGGAAAATGATATAAACGTCTTTGTGTCGTCAACATATGATTCTACGTCACAGTTCGAAACAACTTTGGGTAAATCGTTAATGTATGTTGTAAACAGAAGTGGACCCAAGATGGAGCTTTGTGGGACTCCATGTTTCACCAATAAAGGAGTTGATGTAGATTGACCAATGCGTGTGACTTGATATCTATCGGATAGATAACTCTGAAACCAATCAACACTAGAGGAAGAAGCGCCTACATTTTGGAGCTTTTGGAGTAGTCTTTCATGGCTTTGCTATCAAAGGCTTTACTCAGGTCTATTAAAACCATTGCTGTAATCTTTTTTCGTCCATTGCTCTAAAAATGTGGTTAGTGATAAGTAGCCGAATTGTTTCAGTGGAGTGTAGCTTTCTATTTCCACTTTGATGGTTAGTTAATCTCTGCTTTTCAACTAAGTGTTCTGTAAACTGGTTGTTGAGGTACTACACTCGGTGCTAGTACAGGTCGAGGTACAGGTAGTTGTGCTTTTTGACTTTCAGTTTGAGGACTCAATTCCGCACTTGATTGTGTGGACGAGTTTAAATCTTGAAGTTGATTTAACGTATTTCTTAATATTGATGTTGCTGTGTTTATGAAATCTTTATCACAAGGTGACTGTTCATGTAAATCCATGTAAAAAAATGCACCGTAAAAACGAAATGACAACCAAACAATTATAAAAACAACACGAGCACAGAAGAACACGAGGGCGCTAGATGTGCTAGACAAAGCAACAGACAAGGATGTAGATTCATGCCTCGCTAATAGGGTTAGTGTTAGGGTGGGGATTAGGGTTAGCATTATAAATAGCGAGACATGAATCTATAAACTTGTGGCTCAGAATCCACAGGCTAGTTTGCTTGAAGGCGCAGGCAGAATCATCGAACGTCATACGGAATAACAGCATACAAAATAATCGAACGTCATACGGAATGACAGCAAACAGAATCATCGAACGTCATACGGAATGACAGCATACAGAATCATCGAACGTCATACGGAATGACAGCATACAGAATCATCGAACGTCATATGGAATGACAGCATACAGAATCATCGAACGTCATACGGAATGACAGCATACAGAATCATTGAACGTCATACAGAATGACAGCATACGGAATCATCGAACGAAACACGTGAAATGGGCAAACCACGTAATCATCTAACAACTTGCATAATCATTAAACAACATGAATAATCATCCAACGAAGTACAGAATCATCGAATGATGTTTTTGATATTGATCACCCTTCATACATAGCATGATGTTTAGTCCATGTGAAATTTGTTCTCAATTATCAAAAATCTTAGGTCAAATTGAAAAGGTAATATAATACAATAATGCAATGTCAAGAATTCAACTGAAATTACAAATAGCAATAGCCAACCAATACTAACAAAAATAATAAAGTCGAATTAACTTGTACCAAATGTATAATATTTAACAATTATTTGCCAAAGGTGAGGTGATTATCAGGGAATATTTGCCAATAATCACCGAGCCTGAAGCAAATAATTATTTTAGTATTTTTACACAAGTCTTTTGTGGTTTTTTTTGGACTGAAATTACTTTAATTTTGCTTATTTCTTTGTCAGCAACTTCCATGTAACTTTGTCAGCAACTTGCATTTTGGTTTTGTTATATTCACCTGCAGGTGAATATAGCAGCTCAATACGTCAAATTTGACCAATCAACTTGTAGGATTTGTTATGCTCACTTGTGGAAAAATACTAAACCCAGTGGCGAACCAAGCGGTCATGCAGGTCATGTAGTGCATAATGACTAAAAATTTCCCCCAAAATGTTTAAAAATCAGTTCAATATAATTCTTTACAATAGAATTATACTTTATCTTTGCACTTCTATGCCTAAGTATTTTATTTATTATTTTGTTTACCCAAATCAGTGGTATTTAGGCGGTATTTTCGCTATATATTCTCGTATTTTATTGATTTTCGCTTTGACCTTGGCAACTGAGTGGTCCTGCATATTTTCACATACATGACCAGTTGCATAAGAGCGTGGAAAACGATTGCTTGTGATTGCTGTGTGGTTTGCTCGCTGTGTGTTTTGGTCATGCATTTTCAGAATTTCATGACTAGCTATATTATTTTATATTAGGTTTGTTGGTTTCTGATCGGCTTTCGCCATTCGTGCACACGCAATGCAGCTGTTCTTAATGCCTTGGTCATGCAATTTTCAATTTGCATGACTGAACGGGCAACACAACCTGATCAGAGCCTCTTAGCTCGAAGCTTTCAGCCTGAATGAACACGTCTTCAGGTCATTCAAGCATGTCGACTTCTTCTTTACTCTAACCTAACAATATTGTTTGGGAATTTGTGAAAAACCCATTTTCTGCATTTTCGGGAAAGGTTTTCAAATGTTGTGGTATTCAAAGAAAGAATGGCTTGGGCTAAATAAGCTATTAGTATTATTTAGTTATCGTTATTTTGTCTTGAATATTTAAGGCCCGGTTTAGACGGCGAACTTCTCATGCACCGAATCTAATTGTCGTAGATACGGCAAAATATCGGAAACTGATTTAGACGTCGAACTTAATTGCACCGTACCAAATTGCGAAGACATTATATTGGAAATATTTACAATGCAAATATATGATAATCATATTATGTTAAAAAATAATTATGCATTAGGTTCGGCGCATGAAAAGCACGGCGTCTAAATCAATGTCGAACCTGTGTCGCATATACGACTTGTCCTGTCGCATCTTCGAGTCGTGTCGAACTTAATCAAAACCTGCCGAACTTAATTGATTTAGACGCCGCTCCAACGTCGCACTTAATTCTTGCATTAGATTCGGCGCATGAAAAGTTCGCCGTCTAAACCGGGCCTTAGTCTTCAACCTGAGCATAGGCGTATAAAGCATCGAGCGTTAGTATAATACTGTATGAAATACAATGTCAAGGTCAATGTAGTAAACAATGTAGTTCTATAAATAGCGCTGCAAGGCTTATACATTTCAACACGCAACACAAATATTTTAGCGAATAGCGATTGTGCAACATATTTGATATATACTTGTTTGTGAAACAAACAAAGAAATTTTAAATATATATTGTTACATTGTATTTACCATTTGGTACATACTTCCCGTAAACTGACAGTAAAATTTTAACTCAAACTCAATAATGTCTAATTCCTTTCCGTATCTAATATTGTCATAAATTGGGCGATTGATTTTAAATTAAGGAAATTGATCACGGCTCATGCTAATGCGTTATATTTTCCATGTCTGCATATTATACCTACATTCTAGATTATACTGACTGTATTAGCAGCTATTTGTCATTATGTTCCGTTAGTATATGTGGATAAAATTTATCTAGTTCTGGAAATGTAAACAACTTTTCAGACTTCACGTTGGAATACTGCAAGGGGATAGCATATCAAAGTAATCAATTAAAAATTATGTGGTCTATACAGAATATATGATAATACAGAACATGCATGTAATATTTTCTGATCGAAAAGAAATACACAATTGCCGGTATGACTATAATTAGAGCGGAACTGCAGACCACAGATTTCCTATTTTTGTGTCGATCTTCATTATTGTTGTCTAAAATATGCCAAAATATCCACATCTTTTCCTTAGTTAGGTCAAGCTATTTTCTGAAATTTGATGCTCAGATTGCTGCAAATAGTGTCCCCCCCCGGACCCCCTAGGATGTCCATCTGACCACTCATGGCGTTTGCATTACCACTCACATGACGCTGGCTTCGCCACTAACTAAACCCAGACTGCTAACTTTGCTGTGCGCACAGAAGATATTCCGTGTGCATTTTTCGAGATGAAGTGTGTGTGTTAAGAATTGAAGTCAGGTGTGCATTATGCGAGCACATTATTTTTTTTATTTTTTGACAAAATGTACTTTCGAAACTACCCAAAATTTGATAATTTAGTGATGTCACTGATGTGCGAATTTCCTCACTTATCACCTGAGTGCGCATTCTATCCCTCCCGTGAAATATAAGTGCACCTTTTTTGGCAACAAAATTATATTCAGTGTGCAATTAGCAAAGTTAGCAGTCTGGTACTAAACGGGTTATAACATTATATTTCTGTTAACAGCAATTAAACAGGTAATATGGTAATCTAATTTATTATTTTTAAGCACATGAAACACTTTGAAATAGTATAACTTGTGTCTCCTTCGTTCAATTTGCCCTTGTAACCTCGCCCATAACGGTAGTTGATTCAAGTCGGGTAGAGTAGTCGAAACAAATTTTAATATTCCCAGTAAGTTTGGATCAAGTTTTGCAGTGACATGAAACTATAAAAAAGGATAAAAAATGTTGTAAATATGCTATATATACAGTATATGCCATATGCATAAGACTAAATACGATTTGTAAAATGCAAGTTGATTTCGTATGGTCAATTTTCTATAAAGAAATTATTTCAACATTAATTTTAAATAGGCATCTGTTAACAAACGTTTAATTTACTGCATAAAGGGAAATTATTGTTCGATGAAAAAGACTGTTTAAATATTAAAAAAATCTTACCACAACATAAACCAGCATCATAAGCTTGACACCCCCCTTATACCATCTCCTTTGCTGATTGGGGACAAGTTCACTCATGCATTTTTCAATTACATCGGCATCAAATTCTGCACATACATTATCGTAGCGCATAATCCACACTAATAAAAAATCCTAAATTTAAATAAGGTTAAATGACATTAATTTGAGACACTGTACCCGGATTCTTTTATCACAAGATCAGCACTGGCAGTTCAGGAGTAATGTTTGGGAATTGTGTACAAATTTTACACTATTCACAGTTTTCATTTTATTTTATCATATAATCATAGTTTATAGTAGCCAGGGCATTCTGAACAGTGTAAACATAAATTCAGGTGCAGTGTAAAATGCAGCCTAATGTGAACAACATACACATGGACCATATTTTCTTATGTTCACATTAAATCATTTCATTTCTTTTAAATGTTACTGATTTAGGTTTTCATTTCGGTACGTCATTTTTATTTTGCCGTCTTATTTTGCTGATTTACCCCCTCCCCCAAGAGCAAAATATGCATGTATTTGCAAAAGATTTACATGCCTACAGTTTACACTTGTGTTACTTCGTATGTGTGTTAGTACTTAGTAATATGCAAATGTGTACACTACTTTAGTACATTACCCGGTTAATGTCAGCAAAATTTTCCAGGCATAACAATTCTTTTTCGTTGTCCTTATTAAATTTGGGATCCCTTACATAGTCAAGCCGAATAACGCGTCCATCTAACCCTGCAAACACAAAAAATGACAATTTTGAGTTAATGTATGATTTGAAATACATGTTCGCTGTGACTAACATATTTAAATATTAATTAATACTCTAAAGCTAGTTTTTTATGCACTGGTCTATTCATATCTGATTTATGGGAACCTAATGGGGTAATACATATAAAACAAGAATTCAAAAGATAATGAATACACAAAAGAAAATTATGTGTATAATGACTTTTAAGTCAGTGTTCAGAGTATGACTAATGACAGAGTATGGTAGGAATGAATTTTAGCATCTCATCCAGAAAGGAGTGATGAGGAGAATCTTCAGTAAATGTGGCTTCTTAAACATTTTTGCAGTATTGAATGAAGAACTGTTGAGACAATCAAATATGTCGTCCAACTTTGAAAGCAACTTAGCTGTCCCAGCAGCCACTGCAGGAAAGAGACCAAGCGAGACATACATCACAATTGAAGATGCCGTGGTATTACTAAGGACTTGTGTCGCATACTTCACCTTCATTTTCTGAAAACTGTTCAGGTTTATATGGTTCTTTGTTAATTTAGGGCAGCAACAAATCGATTGCTTAGAATCTTGTTGGTATACTGTTTCAATGTCTTTCCACGAAAGCAATTTTTTCTCCGATATGAAAATCATAGTTCATTAGGTTGTTTCGAATTGCTTTTATCAACTGAGGAGGGTCATACAGGTTTCTTCCCTTGTAGGTGATCCAGGGTTGGTTGTAGGTGAACCAGGGTTAGTTTAGTGTTATGTGAACCAGGGTTGGTTTGGTGTTATGTATAGTTCACAAACAAGCTTCTGAAAGTTTGATCCTAAATCAGAAATGATGCCTTTTACATGTAAACCAAGTGATGTCACCTCGTCTATCGTTTCGAATAGCGTACTCTTTATCTTTTCACTCGGGCATGCCTCATGGACAAGAAGGTACCCCAATGGCTGTTTCCATTCCCTATAATTCCTTGTGCCATTTACACCAATGCTGAATTTGCCTACTTCACCGATACAATCTCCATTTCCGAAATCCACGACACCAGTTACTTCATCTTTTAATTGGTCGTACTGTAGGTAGGTTTAGTTTATTAACACTAGAAACCATTGTCAACAAGGAAATTTCACATGTTTATCAGTGGTTATGTGCAAATAAGTTATCTTTGAATGTTGAAAAGTCCAACTATATTAAATTTCACCCTGCTCAAAAGAGAGTTAATTATCAAGTAAAAGTTTCTTTAAATGGTTTCATCAGAAATAAAAAAACATTCAGCAGCAGCAAACTTGTATTTAAACATCAATTTGTATTTAACCATCAATTTCGATTGCTCACAGATGTCTTATATTAAAGTAGATTATTCTCTTATTTTTTCTGGGAGGGCCAAGGAGTTGATATCAATAGCCAGTAGATTAGTATTAATTAATTACTCTCTTAAGAAGTACTGGGCCAGTTGCTATTAAATTCTAGTTAATGAAGTTGAATATGTTGGAAAGAGATAGATAGTTAAAATCGAACAACTGGCCACTAAGCAGGACAACAATAACTTGAAACACATTTTGTGGCATATATTTTGGGCAGAGAAGTGCTCGAAAACAGTTCCGGCCGAACTGTCTAGAGGCTCTCGCTAACTTAAGTTTTATTTAGAGAAACAGGCAAATCTCTAGACTGCAGAGGGCATGCTTGACTCTGTGCATGTCGTTCAGCGAGTTGAGACCTAGTTGGACTGGTGAACAACTATTGGTATAGGGCACATTACCCAGGGTACTCAAAGCTGGCTGAGGATACACACAAAAACTGTAGGTTGTTCTAGAGGAACAGGCGGACCTCTAGATAACAGAGGAACAGGCAAACCCCGTTCAGATCCGTCAGGCCGTCGACATTGAGACCTAGTTGGACTGGTGAACAACTATTGGTATAGGGCACATTACCCCGGGCCGCAACTGATAACCTGACTGACCACATCGAGTCTCTAGGACTGCTCATTCAGGTCTTCAGTGCGACCTGAATGAGCAGTGATTGCGCTTCACATGGTGAAGTGTTGTCCATCGGACAGCACTTCCCTGCCATTAATGACAATCTACACGAAGTATAGGTTGTCATTTCCGCCACGGGAAGCAGCACAGAGTCAACCGGGTTGGCAATAAAGTGAAAAATGGGTGGATAAAAATAAACTGCATGGCAAGGAAATAGCGAGACTTTTTTTTTTTAAATAATTTTTCTTTGCGTTTATAGCATGTCAATGTAAGGCAGATACGTTAACCATTTAAACTTTTGTTGTTGTTTTTATTTGGAAAAAATAGTTAGACCCGTTTCAGTTCATTGCCGACGCGGCCAAGTCCGGCTACGACACGCTTATAATTATTAGCCGGTTATGTGGACCGTTAACGCAAATTCAATGGATCTGTTTGCATTATGAAATCACAGTATGAATGACCAACCCTCCATGAAGTACGCGAAAAGGATCCACATAACCATGCAAGCTATACCACTAACAGCTAAAGTAAATATAATAATTAACAGAGTGGACTTAGACCTTTTGGTTTGTATTTGCAATGAGTTTTGATGTTACAGACACTAAAACGTCCCTCGGAGTTCTTATATACCTTTCATAACAATCTGAGGACCAGCGTCCAAGAGTCTTTATTAGCCAAGTAGGGAGTCCTGCTGAACCAGCTGCTGTAGCTGCTCCAATTCTGAAGCTATGTGAAGCATACAGGGTTTCGTCTAGTGCTTGCTGCTGAAGTAAACTGCGTAGATGTGAAGTTAGTGTTGCACGGGTGAGTGGAGCTCCAGATTCAAACTGAAAAAGAGGTCGACTTTCGGGGAATGGAAGGTGTTTGGAGTAAATAATTCTTCATTGCTCGTACAGGGCAGAATTCATTAAGCGATGATCCAATTGTTAAACGGCATCCACGGCGAAATGGGTCAGTTTTTGAGCGTTTGATGATGACGTCAAAGTGTTCTGCATTCAAAATGTTCGGGTAGAAAATAATGCCAGTTCTTGAAAGGTGGTATTCAGGATCAAACAGGGAATTACAAGTAAACTCACTGCCGAAAAAGGCTAAAGTAAAGGCAGCCCAGAGCATCACATTGTCTATAGAATCTGTAAACTGGGGACGTAGTGCACGATGAAGACATGCAAGTTCTTTAAAAGTGATGGGCCGACGATCTCTCGTTTTTCACCCTTCAGGCATTTCAGACCTTTCAGACATTTTTCTAATAGTTGCATGGTCCCCATATTGAATGGCACTTGGAAAATGACATGCAGATAAGACACGCTGGCTAGATACGTTTTGACATTGCATAAGAAACTGATTGGGATAAATGTCCAACAAAGTAAAGTAAAGTAATTTCAGTCGCAGGCAGCAGAGGTGAACAAGGTGTCACGATCCCTTTTTCGAGACAAAAAGAAATAAACCGTTTAATACCGGCTGCATATGTTTGTTTTGTTCAGGTCGCCCAAGAATGTTGAATTAATTGATAGACACGGTCTCTTAGGTTTGAATCATCGATGACGGGATGACGCAAGGCAGAGGAGAGGCCAACGGCGCTAATTGCTTGAAGCGGTCCATCTGAAAACGAGAGAGCGAGTCAGCAATGCCATTATCGATTCCGCGCACATGTTTAGCGGTAAACGTAAAATTATTTGTTAGCATACAAAGGACAATTGGTCGCAGTAAATCCATTATCTTCGGACTTTTAGAGGCTTTTTGATTAAGAACTTGAACGATGGACTCGTTGTCACAGAAAAACACAATGAGTTTAGATGTCCACTGGGATCCCCAGAGACAGCAGGCAAGATAAATTGGATAAAGTTCTTGCCATGCGATCGAAATACCGGTTTTTTGGTTGATATTTTGTTCCGGCAGCCAAAGGCCTTGGAACCATTGCCCTGCTAAATAACCACTGAAACCTATGGAACCAGCTGCGTCTGTATACAGTTGAAGTGTTGGCGATGGCGTCTGTTCGGACTCGAGAAAAAGGCTAATACCGTTCTAATGTTTTAGAAAAAGTTCCCACATAGCTAAGTCTTTATAAAACCCTGAGTTTAATCGAACAAAATGGTAAGGCTGTTTTACCCCACATGTTAAAGCGATCATGCGACGAAGAAACGTACGTCCCGGGGCAATCACACGACATGCAAACTGGAGAACGCCAATTAGAGATTGAAGTTCCTTTAACTTACACGATGAACGTTTTTGCCAATTCTCAAGCAAAGACTTAGCTTGACCAAGTTTATCAGGGGGAAGACAAGCTATCATGCGGACAGAGTCTAAAGAAATCCCAAGAAACTCCAATACTTGGTTAGGGGCATACGTTTTTCCAGGGGCAATTGGAACATCTAACTCGGTAAACAGGCACAACAATTTACATAAGGAAGTTAAACATGCCGAACGTGGTGTGGGTTCGGCTATAAAGAAATCGTCCAAAATATGGAGAACGTTTGAAACTCCTAGTTTGTGTATAACAATCCATTCGAGTGCATCAGAAAGCATGTTGAAAATGAAAGGGGCACTTCGAAGACCAAAAGGAAGTACACGATCGAAAAAATACAAATCACGCCATTTCATGCCGAGAAGTTCCCAGTCATCAGGATGTACTGGTATGTTACGAAAGGCGGATTTAACATCAGTTTTGGCCATGAAACATTTTGGACCGAGCTTTAGAAGGATTCTTATAGCATCATCAAGGCGTACATATTGTAGCGAATATTCCTCGGAGGAAGTGTTCGCATTGACGCTGGCGTTCAAAGTTTTTGGATACGACAAGCGGAAAATTGTTCTCCATTTGGACGAATTCTTTTTAGGAAAGAGACCCAAAGGGTAAATTTGAAAATTTTGAAATGGGGGTGAACTGAAAGGCCCAATAGTGTGACCTTGTTTGACTTTGTCGAGTAAATTACTATCAACGGTTTTCGGCAAGAGGTAAGCAGTTTTTAGATTTTTTGAAAAATCCGGTGTTGAGCTGGGTCTCGGATTGGCACTCGATGCAGCTGGGACTTCTGCTCCATCGTGATCGGCGAGGCGACGAAGAAGAATATCACGCGAACCAGAAAGCGCTAGATTTTGTTGCGCCAGGAGGAGATGGAGAACCTCCGTTGATAAGTCAGCGTAATTCACCCCAGCAGTACTCGATGGCATCGTCGAACTTTCACCAACATCTGCAGCCGGTGTTTGCTCGATGCCAACGCTGCGGACGGCCACGAGTTGAGCCTCGAGTTGGTCCTGAACGACGCTTGCCTTTTTCTTTAGGCATTGTAAGTCAACGATATTTAATTTTTTTCCCCCAAATTTTCACTTCTTTGCCAAGGTTTTTATCCCTTGAATTATAAACTAAAATTTTTGCCAGAGCTGTTAACGCACTGGCTAAAGTCTTGCGAATGAACAAGGCACGTCGAAACTGCGATCAAAAGTCCTTGATCAAAAGGGGGGCATTGTATGTATGCACGTGAAGGAAAAACCTTCAGGATAATTTCTGATTGGTTAATCTCAAGTTAGCATCAGTTGTTCACATGCTTAGTAGCCAAAGTTCGATTTTTATCTGATATTTTGTAATATTAACAGGACTAGAAAACGGTTCCCTTGTTCTGCCAAGGTACTTGGACCTTGTACGTACCTTGCACGGATTGATTTTGTGACGCAGATGTGTTGGCAGACTGAAAACACCCTCGGGCAAATGGAGTCTTCTAGAACATATCACTCCATTAACCGCAATTTATAGCTTTGCTTAAATTGATTATTTAAGTTATTCTATTCATGCAAATATCACACTGAGCTCCCAAAGGCAGTTTGAGTCATTGATGCAGATTTTATTTTGTGGAGGTGCGGTAGGCGATCTTGAGGTGGGGCTTGATTGGTCTGGTTGCTGAGACCGGGATGTCAGTATGTTCTCCGAAGAGGGTACACCGTACCCCCCGAACAACCGCAATTGACAATGTCCTTGTCCTGTGGCTTGTTCTTCCTAGCTATATATGCATTGTGCTTAGAGTACTATTTATGTATAGTGGATCGTCATTGGGCTTCCTATAGGGCCTATATTTTCCGTGCAACCCATGAGGACCATGCAACCCATGATAAGCAATATACTTTTTTACAAGTCTTATTAAGACAGTCTGAAATTTAAGAAAAATCTGGAAAGGGTTCATTATTCGGTCTTCTCTATTTTTTTGACATTATGTTCTTTTGAACATTTAGCTTAGTACACAAGTAACATAAGAAGAACAAACAGTTTGAGTTTGTAAGAAATGAGTGTTAAGGGGGGGAGGAGACGGGGGAAGCTACCACACCCCAATACCACCCACCAACAACCGCCAGAGTTTTTTATTCATGACAAGAAACAAATTGTTACGTCGTTCATGCAGAAGCTTATCATTTTTGTAATTTGAATAAAAACAGAAAGGTCTAAGATAAATTCCAAATCAACATACTTTGAAATATTAATTTAAAGATTCTATAAAGTCCATTCTGTGCATCAGTTCTGCTCATAAGAAAGGGAGACCCCAGATATAAACATTGCCCAAATTTTGCATCTTTCGAAATTTTCGAATTGAAACATAGAGTTAATATCAATTTACTAGAAATACATGTATGCAATAACCCCTCGCCTGTTTTCAAAAGATGTATACTCAGTACCGTTGCGACCACTTCGTCTCAGGGTGTGTGTGAGGTTAGATAGGGGGGGGGGGGTGTGGTGGTTACCAAATGTTTCCAGATGTACAACAGATGATTTAACATATAATAATTTTTCCGAAAATACAGTTTTCCAAATTCACTTTCTCATGTCCTGAGAATTACCTGAAATCCCCTGAAAATCTTCTGCAAATCTACTTAAATTTACCTAAAAGTGCACTGGAAATCTACCTGAAATTCCTCATGAACAATTATCAGGGGTGTTGCCCCCGCCCCCCAGTGAGTTTCAAGTAAACACTCTCTGATTTATTGTTCATGTATTTCACCTCCCAAAATATTGTGCATCATACTCTAAAGCATTTTGCTGTTGTCATGCTCTAGCGTGGTTCAAATTTATGAATTTTTATTATAATGTATAGTGTTTTATAGAGATTTCGAGCACTGATAAAAATGATAATCTCACAGTCACATGTGAAATTATTCATGATAATCTCACATGTGAAAATGATCGCTTTTCCATTATCGCTTTTCTGTAAAAATTATCGCTTTTCAAAGACTGTCCTTTATATAATAAACAGAAAAATACATGGGTGGTTGGAAATACCAGATTTATTTTTCGTGTTGAACATGACATCTCACTCGTTCGCTGCGCTCACTTGTGCGCTGCACACTCATGTTCAACACTCGAAATAAATCTGGTATTTCGTGCACCCATGTATTATTCTCTATTTAAACTACAACTTGACTGGTTTAAATTATTATCAAGTTATAAATGATTGTAAAAGTTGCAGATAGAAGTGTTTTGTTTTATATTATTATCAAGTTATCAGTGATCGCAAAACCTCCAAATCCTTAATTTCAAATGCCCCGCTGGGGCTAAGGTTCGAGTAGAAATGCTCAACCCCCAGGATGTGCTTTACAGGAAAATTGCTGGGCGAGGGGGATGGGCACACTTGGATTTGGCTGATGCATTAAAAGTCATGGAAAAAGAAAAAAACTTTTCATATTGTTACTATAAAATGGCTTATTGTGCTTATTTCTGTGCTTTTTCCAGACTGCTTGTCAAATATTTACTTGCTAGAAGTCGAAATTTACTATGACCACTGGATGAAGAAGACATTAAATAAGTACTGGTTAATAAACAGAAATGTATTTTATTTCATAGTATTACAATTTTATTTTTATGCTATAAAAATAAAATATAAACATGCAGCATAGAATATGCAAATTATTCGAGGCAAAATTATTGTTGAATCTGTTTATTTATAGATTTTATAACAAATAGCAACTATTTAACAATTAGACAACGAAGCCGAGTTGTCTATGAGCGAATAGTCAACGAGGCGAAGCCTCGTTGACTATTCGTTCAGAGACAATGAGGCTGAGTTGTCTAATTGTTTTAGTATAAACCACACAAAGAAAACGGAATTTTTCACTTGATTCTTATGTAAAATAATAACGTTTTAACAAAATGAGCGTTTAAATGGCTTCCTTTGGCTTTGCCGACATTTCGCCTTGGCTTTGTTGACAACTACTCAGTGTTGCGAACTCCCAAGAATGACTTGAAAAATACAACTTGTGAGTTTTAAAAAAGTTAAAAAACATGTCGTAAAACAGTTATAATAGTAAGAGACCATTATAGAAGCAAATTTTGGTTAATTAAAACTTATTTAAAAGAAGGAAACAAGGCTTAAAAAGTCCAAAATTTCAAACACAAAATGGCTTCCCGAATTGTTACTAAATTAGTAAATAAAGTTTACGTTAAAAAGCCGAATAAAAATGCACACACATGCAAAAGAATCCGATTATCCGAATGTCGTTGAAATCTTTAAAATATCTGGAACATAAAGAGGCAAACAATTTCCATAATCTAGTGTATACATAGACAATAGTTATAAAAAGGCTCGAAAAAGCGAAAAACAAACTCGGCCAAAATCTCAAAATTTAAACGAAAAAACTCTTTAAAATGACAGATAAATACATGAACTCGTACTTAAAACAAGCACACACTAAAGAGGTTGAGAAAACAGGGGTAAATAGCTTAAAGTATTCTTGAATTTCAACAGTTCTGCTTGGAATATTAACAAACATTGTGCATATATTTTAAAAATTCACTTTCATGTTCAAAACTACGAGCAAAGTTGCGAAAACTTAAAAATTTTACCGCATGTGTTAGCAGTTTCCAAGATTCTTTGTTTGTGTGTAATCCAGAACCAAAACTAGGCCATTTTGATAAGCTTTTTCCATTTAAATGCAGCTTTTAATACTTAAAAACGGCCATTGACTCTCGCGCCCTTCGCCGCTTGTTGCTACTAGTAGGCTATCACTAATAGCCTACTAGTAGCGTAGCCAATCAGAACGCACGATATATGATAGCCTACTAGTAGGTTTATACTAAAAAAGTTTATACCTTGTCTTCACATCACTTTATTCTGTTAGCCAATGCTTTTAAATTTACATATTTTAGAATCAGTTCCTTTCCTGGTAACTGCATTTCTAAATGAAATCATTGTGAGTAGTGAGTGCTGAGCAGGCCGTTTTACTATAAACAAATTTTAGGAATTGATAACAACTTTGAAAATTATATCGTTGCACATTCGGTCACAGTCGGAAAAATGTTCACAGTATGTTGTACCGTCGCTTGCAACTAACGATGAACAGTTGCTCATAAAAACATTCTCGTGATTAGAATCTCCAATGTTTGTCAAGAACAACAACACTTAATTGTTGTTTCCTATGTGTACAATAATAAGTAAAAAAACTTTGTGTGGTCTGAACGTGTTGGGCTATTGACCTACTGGAAACCTTTACAGGCTTTTTAATGAGAATAGAGAATGTTTTATCTGCAACTGTTCACCTTTAGTTGCAACCGACGGTATTTGACAGCATAAAATTGGCTGTGATAACTGATATAAATAAAATACAGTCTGGTTATACTGACTTGAGCATGTCTTGACAAACTCTTTATTGGAAAATTGTGAAGAAACAGTCGAATATAGAGGGTCGAATATCATACTTCAACTTGTATAGCTACAGTAACATTAGTACATTACTACATAGTGTTGTGAAGACAAGCCTTTTCTTACCTTTCGCTTCAGCAGTCTTTTCCATGCTTCTCTACGCTTTCCCAGGCAAGCTTCTCTTTCCTCAGCAGTCTCCTCGAGCAAACGTTGTCGTCTTCGCTCCCTCCTTTTTGCTAGACGTTTGGCTTTCTTGTCGTTTCCTTGCCGCTCTTCATTTGGCTCCATATCTTTTCAATTGGTATTTGATACCGTAATTGTTTTATTAAACTTTTTATAGAACAAATTGCTTTGAAAGCTGTCAAAGTTTTTTGCAAACTACAAAATACTGTAGTGTAAAAAGCAAATTATTTTCATGAAGTATCTGTCAGTTGAAGTCATCAGTTGTCATACAACAACAAATTTTAAATTTGACCATTCAGTGTTCGCTATCCATGACAGTCCACCATATTTTTGAGATCAGTGAGGATGACCACCCACTCAAGGTTCGTTGGTCACGCCCGCGATATTTGATGAACTTTAGACTTGGCTAATGCTTTCGTTTCCCCGGGTGTAAATAGCCGGGGGGGGGAATTAGTACCCTTGCACGGCGCTTTGCCCCGACGGCTCGGGGACAAAAGTGGGGCCCCAGAATCGGGTGGCTGCCGGTGACTTCCGGCAGCCACCCGATTTTGTATACTATAGATGTGTTATCCAGTCTTATTTCAGATCAGTGGTTGTGAATTACCTACAGTTAAAATACTGAGAGAAAAAAACTCGCAAATGGTGACAAACGTGGGATTACAAATAGTACACAGCTGATTCAATTAAGGTTGTCCTTCTTAAAATCTGAGCGTGCAAAGGATGATGGGTTAGTGCCTATTAGGCCCTTAAATTCAGCAAATTGCCTTTGCAGCAGGTATATTTTTTGTTCTCAGTCTTCTGTATGCCATAGTTATTTTCCAAGTTTATGGGTCTAAATGAGCAACAACCCATCATCCCTTTGCATGCTCAGAGTTTAAGGTTTTGGAAGAACAACCCCAGCCTTAATTGAATAATTTACCTTAGCAAAGAATTTAGTTAGTTTTCCTGTATAAATATCTGCGTTATATATAAATTTCATGATGTCTTCAGGTAATATGTCGTTCCTTTCAACAAAATTGATGAGCTTTGAAAGTCTTCATTTTCCAACCACTTGCGCCCCTGTATTAAAGGATTGTACTGTACATTCTGCAGTTTATAGTATGCGATATCTTGCTTCATGTGGTGTCAAAGATTTGGATAGAATTTCCCTTTGAATGCTTATATTTTAAGTTTGACTTAATCTAACCTGTGGCATTTCATTAATGTACGTGTCAGTTTCTTCTGGAAATCAGATAAGTGCATTTGCTTTGGTTGGTATCACAAGTTGAAGTCGAACAATATGTGAAGGCTGCAGCCAACAATATGGATTGTGGTTGTAATAATCCTAGAAATTAAGATGTTTACTTACATCAATAAATGTTCCATTTCTATGGAAAGATAAGATATGCCTTTAATAGACTTTACTGTTTATTACACTTCGCCCATGGACCTCGTTTTCATGTTGATTATTTTCTCACATTTTGTGCATAGTAGAGAAAGAATGTGATTGGGCTCAAGGTCAAAGTGAAACATATTTTCCAAATTCAAGCACAGAATGTATCAGGATATAACCTGCATGCATGTGCAGCTGCCATTGTAAAATAGGAAAACATGGAAACAAGGCCAATGGGCCAAGTGCAATCTTGTGCACATACCTTTTGTGGCTGTAGTAACTCTTCAACTCCCTCAATTTTGAAATTTATCACTGAATTCAGGGAAGGAACATCTACCTGAAGTTTTTTGAATATCATCCACAGATATCATCCACAAGTAGTCAATGAATCATCGCCAGAAAATAGTGACATTTGGAAATTGTCAGCGGAGCGTATCGTCACATATTGCGCATGCGCTAATGACCTGAAATTTCAACATGGCGACAAGAAAGAAGAGATGCGGGCATTCCGAAGGATTTTATCGGGACTTAAACGCATTGACGACTGGCGAATTCGAACCTAGCATAAAGAAGAGGAAAACAAAAATATTACCGGGGTTTTATACAGTGGAGCGTATAATATCCTCAAGAGAACGGGAAAATGTAAGTCCAAAACACATCACTTAAATTCACTTTGCCTTTGCCCTTTGGGTTTTTACACTTCAATTATTATTTATTTCTTGTTGAATTTTGTATTGATTAGAAGTTATATTGTAAATATGCAAACGCTATAAAGTGTCTGCATTGTTCTGGATGATACTCTTGTAGGATTTAATATAGTATTTATACATGCACTTTAATAGATAATTCCATTGAATACAAAATATCTAACTGCTAACTAGCCATGTAAAAATTGTGAATTGTCTATAAAACAGGATTTTGCTTTGTTATGTTGTATAATTCTCTGAGGTGGTTTTTTTATATGTAGCTACCTAGACTCCTGGTCATAGATTATCACTGCATACAGTACTGTATCACTACAGGAAGAAGTCTGAAATATAATCAAAACAATGATAATTTCTTTATTTTATATACATACAGGAAATGCAATATCTTGTTAAATGGAAAGACTGGCCTTCCTCTAGTTGTTCATGGGAACCAGCCAACCATTTGGGTGAAGAGCTTATAAGTTATGTACATTTTAATATATATTTAAGTGCTAATGTTTCTCGGTGCAATTTCATTGATCTCAATATTAATTATACTGGAGTAGATATTAACCTAATGCCAATCTGCCAGTCATGGGTTAAATTAGTTATTATTGGGGAGAGAATAGTGTCAATAGAAAGTTTTATTAGAAATCCTGTTTGTAATTATACACAAAATATACTTAATTCTGTTTTATTTGCTATTTTGTAGGAATTTCAATGCATGTACTCCAAATCCCAGTAAAGAGCGGATTACCAGTTCCACAGAGATATTTGCTGATGCTGTTCTGGGCCGTTTAAAATCTAAATGTTTGGAACCCAAAGTTAATATTCATATGGACCATGACATTTTCCGCTTTGTGGTAAAAGGCAAGGGAAGAGAAGCTGCAGATTTTCCTGGGTCATTGCTACTCGAAAAGGCTGACTTCTCACGCTTTAACATGCATGAGTACTGGTGGTATGTTCTTAACAGTAATGGTGAAGGACGGACAGTACACTTTCCAATAAGGGCTAAACCAGTTCTTAGATGGTCTGCGAAACAATATATATTAGTAAATGGATGTATTTCCCTAGCTCCGCAGAAACCGGTTGAGATTGTTTCGTTTTTTATTGCTAGAGAGCAAGCTAACAAAGATAGATTATTATAATTATACAATAAGAATATAACTATTACAAAAGAATACTTCTAAAAAGATAATGTCCAATATGTAGCCATGATGGATGCTTAACCCCTTGAGTGGTGATGCACCCTGATGCACTCTACTTTAGTATTTTACTCTGTCTAACACCAGATGATTTTACTCGTCAATGGGAGAGCGCTGGCGCTTAATGGGTTAACTGGCCTATCTGCCCATGTGTCTAGTTAACCCATTGAGTGGCGATGCACCCTGATTTAGTATTTTACTCTGTCTAACGCCAGCCGATTTTACTCGTCAATGGCAGAGCGCTGGTGCTTAATGGGTTAACTAACTATTGAGTATTTGTTAGGTACAGTACAGTAATCTGACTATACCATAAACCTTGTGGGGTTCGGTGGCCAAGTGGTTAGCATACTTGCCTTTCACCTCTAAGGCCGCAGGTTCGAGTCTCAGTGAGAACTTTCTCAATGCGACTCGAACCCAGTCCTCGTGTGAAAAGAGTAAAAGTCAACGCTCTGCCGAAAGTCGTGGGTTTTCCTTGGGTACTCCGGTTTCCTCCCACAGGGAAAGTTGACAGGGTGGGTTAGGTAAAAAGGGCTCACAGTAATTGGCATATGCTGTTGTGGTGACCCTGCCCTAGTTGGCAAAGCTAAATAAATAAATAAATCTCCGACTATAAGCCCTGGGCTTGTTAGATGGGTTTATACATGGTCGATCTTTTGTGCTAGTAATAGCAAGTCATACATAAACAAGTCAGTCATAAACAGGAAAATAAACATATTGGGGGGGGTTATAGTTGGAGGTTTACGGTATGTAATCAAAGTTGAGCACGGAGGAATTCTCTAAGTTTTACAAGGCTTCTGAGCCTTGTTTTTATGCCAAGAGATTTGATCTTCTGCTTAATTTCTTCAATGCTAAGGTCATCAACATTAATTGTGATATTACTTTCAGGAGTAATTTCCCTCGGGTCCACACTAAATCGCTTCCGCTTTTTTCGCTGTACATATATATCATTATCCCAGTAATTGTTGGCTCTTTTGACATACTTTTGTGGCTCCCTTTCATGATGCTGCAACCTGTCAATCCTTTTTAATGCAAGTAGTGCTTCACTGCAAGCATCGTGCTTGTTTGATTTATTATGGTATATCGACCGCACAATGTCATTGATTTTCTCGATTCCTTGTCCTGTAAATCTTTTGACCGCCATTTCCTGCTTAAGAAATCGTGGTACATGATAACAGAGCATATGTATGTATGGTGTAACATTGTGTTTTCCATAGCCATCCTCCTTATTTCCCAAACTAAGGAAAGTCTTCACCCATTCGGTTGCCTGGTAAATGTAAGTATAACAGTGTATGATGAGTTTTGTATCAATTGCAACACAGCATGATTATTGGATCCAACTACTCCCTTTCATATCTACCCCCCCCCCACATCCCGCAAGATTTTTTAAAGTAGTATACCCTATTAGTATGTTTCTTCAACTGATATGTAGATATTCAGTATAATAAACCTGTCTAAGTGTACCTTTTCAAAGAAGGAGTTTTTCACTTCTTGACTTGGATTCCATGCTGTTATATGTTCATAGAGATTGTTGAAATCCTAAAATATACAATTGTTGTGTTAAATCGACTATTGTAATAATGTTTTGCACATGCATGTCACAGGCATCAAGCATGCAATAATGTAAACTACAGGATTATTTTTTTGTGCATTTCCTTGATGCGTAACAAGTTGTATTCTAAGGTAATTAGCATTTGTTGAGGGTGATATATACTGTATATAAACATCACCCTCAACAAAATTCCAACCACCTCAGAATATAACAATAATGTATTGCTCACTACCTTCCAAAGCTTAATTACTTCATGGCAACTGTTTTCAGGAAGCAAGCCTTCCAACTTGTCTGGAAGGGTTTTAAGAACTCTTTTTTTGTCACTCCCTACCATACTTGACCAATCGTAATATCCACTGCCTTTCTTATCTCCATTTGGCTTTTGCCAAACGCTGAAAGCAACGCCGCAATTGCTGATAGCTGCAACTAGGTTTGTTAGATGTTTGTTTGGTCCAGAATGTTGAACTGCTTCTCTAACATCCCACTCAATGCAGGAATTTATAATGTTTCTCTCCAAAATATCTGTGATAAAAATAGTGATATCATAGTATTAATATCAAAGGCAAAGTCTATTGCATCACTGGTACTTTCTCAGCCATACAGTAGTTCTCCTATTAATGTATTGTTATGACAAAATATTCTGCAAAAATGGTCTGCTTACAGATTACCCACTCATCCCAGGTAGACATCTGGGTGAGTGTGGATGCGACTCATGGGAGGTAGTTTGGTATCACAGCCTAATCTTCAATTAAGACACAGAACCATATTATAGTGCATACTGACCAGTTATCCTAAGCAACAGATGAAGTTCATCAACTCTAATATTTTCTAATGGTATGTTTAGCAGAGGTTGATTTACACAACCATAATTGTTGTTTGACTTCCCTGCCATTTTCTTCATTTCATCCAGTGTTCTGGCATTCTCTTTTTGCCAATAATGATCTTCTGGCTTAGACATATCCCATCTTAATTTAAATAGAAGCATGCTCAAGAACTTTATATTTTATTATTTCCAATTAATATATTACAACTAATGTAAATTTATAAGGTGGGTACTTTACTGGGGTACAACAAGTAAAGCCACAAGCTAAACAGCTGGTTAATACCAGTCAAGGTAAGCAAAACAAAGGTATTAAACAAAAGTTTGGGAATTCCTAATTAAAGGATAAAATGAAAACTAGATTTGGTGGTCAACCTCAAGGACCTGCAAGTACAGTACCGGTATGTTAATATGATGTATTTTTACCTTTCAGTTTTAGGAACAGTGCAATAAATGCATGCATATATGGAATTTGCCGCATTCAGTCCCAACACCAACAACAAAAACTAGAAATAGAAACCAAAAATAGAGCAATGAAAATATTTGCTACTTTGGCAGGTTGATGTGCAAGACCTCCCCCCCCTAAATTTATAAGCTTAGCCAACAAATTCAGGGGGGGGTTGACTGCCTAGGAACATTGTGGCAGTTGTTAGACTACTGTGGGAAAATAAATTGTCAGCCTGCTGATCATATCCTATATTCTCATTACTTGATCACCTATTAAAATTACTGCAATATTAGGATATATTAGACATGACCATCACTGCTAAAAATATAATCTTCATCACAATATTTTGTCGATATATGAATTAAGTAATTTGACCTAACCTTATAATCTCCGGACAAATAAAAATCCAAAGGGATGTCTTGTCCATTTACATTGATGCTCTTTTTATCAATTAAGTCATTTATTTCTTGGAATACTTCCCCACAGGTAACTTTTATAACACCATAGTCTTCTTTTCCTGACACTACAGCAAAAACGTGATTTCCTGTTTGTGTTTAAAATATAAAAGAAATGTTACTTAGTAACAAAATGATGGTGATTTTTGTGATTTGGGAATCTCTTTGGATTATTTTTCAAGGGTTTTTCCAGGATATTTTCCAGATTAATTAAGAAATTTTTGAGATTTTTCATAGATTTTTTCTGTAACTTTTGAGTTTTGGATTTTTTTGTCATAATTATAAGCATTACAAAGAGCTTTCTTACCATAAGCAGACATAATTTGCTCTTCATCACTGATTATCGAGAATGACAAGACAATAAAGTTTGCAATCCTGGACATCTTAGCACCATCGCCACTTATCTTTACTTTTTCTCCATTATTATTAATTAATCCTTCATCCATTTTCTGTTATTAATTAAAGAATGACAATTATACAAGTCTATCAGCAGAGTTATGTAGCATATTCTACTATTAGTATATTCCACAGTGCACCTGGCACATTTCATCTCAGTTAGTTCATGAGGTAATGCATGCAGTTCTAGATAAATATAAGCAAACAATTTTGGACTAACCTTTTTCAGCTGATAATGAAGTTCTTCTTTGAAACTCATTTGAACACCAGGTTGGTTTCCTGGTGTCCTTGTTATATGTATGAGCTTATTAAGGTCACTTCTACACTGCCGTACCAAATAACTCCTCTCCATGCCATGTACACTCATTGAAAATTCATGGTAGGCAGCATCGCTGACACAAAACCTGTCCATAATAAATAGCACTCCTCGAATTTTATCTTGATCCTCTTCACTCAATTCACTAAAAATTGACTTCTTGTTTTCACATTCTGCAAAATCAATTTTTTTTGGCTGCCCATCCTTGTCAACAAGTGACAATGAATGCAATTTCACACCAAAGCTTTCTACAAACCAAAGTGCCTTTTCTGCTCTTGTTGCAAGCAGTTTCATCTTTCGAATCTTCTGTCTCTCGCCAACCTCAGAAAGGCTCTTGCCACCATTCTTTAGTTCCTCATCGCAAACGCTGCATGCATGGCTCTCTTCGAGGCTTTCAAGATAGTCAATGTAACTCCTCAGTTCTTTATTTTCATTGGCTAGAGTTTCCAACTCTATGTTGTGTGCTTCTTGTTTTTTTTGTAGTTTTTGCTTTTCAACCATTAATTCTGCAAGGAACTCCTCACATCTTTCATCCACTTCCTTCAGCTTTTCTTTCAAGTTTAAATTCTCTTGCTCTGCTTCTACAACTCGTTTGCTGAGGTTACTAACATTCACCAATTCTTCACCATACACGTGTATAATTTTAGCTTTTTGAAGAAGCTTCTCTCTGGTGTAACCAGCAATGCCTTTATATTGATTATCAACTCTACTAGATAGAACGCGAAATCTCTCCTCTAGTCTAGGGACATCTGCCTTAATTTCAAAAGGAAGATCATGTGCGACTAAACGATAGATTTGCAGGAATGAGACATTTGGAATCCGCTTCTTTATTCCTCTCCATTGCAGCAATGTTTTGTTGGAAACATTGATTTTTAACAGAGGATCTCCACTTCTCTGCTCCAGAACATATCCAACAGAAGGTGGTGAACTTAGATTTTTGAGCTCGTTTTGGACTTGAACATCAAGACTACACATTATATATTCATATATGTAAATCACGAAGTAAATTCATGTCGTAATTTTGGCCCAAGCATTGCCAATAAGTGTTTAAACTTTTGCGCTCTTTTGCGCTCTTTTGGTGTATTTTTAAATGAATTTCAAGGGTATACCGCTGACTGCACGATATCACAGACTCAATATTTTAATATTTACAAAATGGCAGAAATAATATGGATTAAAGTGAGCTTTCTTGTCGAATTTCGACCATTTTTCCACGATCATGGTAGTTCTCAAACTGGCTAATTTGCAGGATGATCTCGCTTGGAAATAGCGATATTCAAAAATAAAATATAAATATGAAATTAATTTTTATCGGCTCAAGATCTGGTTTATTGTCAAGATTCAACCTTTGTTGTGTAGGTGAGTGGTAGACATTTGCTCAATTCCCTTTTAGTGGCCGAAATTTTAACAGGTTTTATACCGTTTTTCGCCAATTTGAGCTACACTTTCAGCGTTCAATGTTGTCGGCAATGCTGAATTATTTTAGGGAAATATAAATATGAATTTAATATCCAGACTGCCAACTCCTCGAAAACTTTATTTTAAGAGTATTCTAAAATCAAACCAAACATAGACATTTTTTAAATATTATTTAGGAAAATAATAAATCGCGATTTATACATTTCAGCCTATATTATTGTAGTAATTTTCCACCATTTTGTTTGTAAATCCTGAGCCTAATTAATTATTGTGCAACCACCTAATGTCACTTTTTCCTGGCAATGATATCATCCACAAGTAGTCAATTTAAAGAACGGAATTGATAAAAAGTCGCCCAACTTTCTTAGTATAGAAGAGTTCAGGGGTTACGGCTGGAAGATGGAGATTTTCCTCTTGCTTGTTCCACCTTCCTAGGAGATGTGCCCTAAGCGTTTCAAGTATTTGCAGGACCGTTGATGTCATTTATAGTGAACTTAAGCAAGCAACGTTTTTGTCAACACAGACGTCACCTGAAAATTGGTATAAATAATTTTGGCAGTATTTTGCATCATAGTGCTCGTGTGAGGAAGCAAATATCTTTTAAAATCTTATGTTTTGCCATGCATATGTGTTTAAGATTACCACAAACTGGCTGCACAAATACAGTTTTTAATCCAGTCCTCCTTGGCAATCTGCTACGGAGGCATATGGGGGGGGGGAGTTGGGGCAGGGAACGTTGTTTCAGACAACCTAAATCTTGCCCCCTTAGCATACATAGTGTTAAAAAAATGTTTTGTCCCCCACTATACCTGGTCCTTGTTTCTTTTTTGGCTATCATGACAATAGCTATAATTATATTGTAACTATTTCAAATTGTTACATGAAAAGTTGCAAATTTAGCAAGTATGGTAGCCCTTATCATTAAATATGAATTTTATTAACTTCAAACAGTAAATGCCCAAGAAGAACAGAGATGAATTTTTTTCTTTTGTTGATGGATGGGGATGAAGATAAGTATCTTTTATATTGTTTGTTTATACTGATTTATGGCAGTCTCAACTAATAGTAATAGATTAAGAAGAGATCCTATTTCGTGAATTACAATATCATAATGTAAATTCCACTATAATCCCATGGAGATTTTAATAATAGCCTTAATTCTAACCTACCAACAAAGAAACAGTTAGAAAGACTTGGTAGTTTGCATGAAATAGATCTTTTTAGTTTGAATACAAACCCAAACTTAAACTCGGATTATAATATTCCAGTCACAACAAGCTCCTCCGCTGGCCATACAGCCCGTAATGAGTATGCCAGTTCGCAGGTTGAAATTTGAGACAAAGGCTTGCATAATTGTAAGGCCTACTGAATAACATGTCGATTACTTGGCTTATAGTGTCGATTACTCAGTTGGATCAAATTTCTTCAAAAATATGGCACATCGTCTGCCAATCTTTAGCAATCCCGTTTTGTGAGTATTTTCTAAATACATCTTGGCAGTTATAGCTGATAAAAGCAATGAGGAGATTCAAATAATGGAGGGTTTTACAAGCACAAGCAACAATGATAATAGATGTTGTGAATCTATCATTTGGCCAATTGGGATGTTTTGACTATATACACACACATTTAAATAGTTACACTGTATAAAAGACAAATATAAATGGAATACATTTTGTGGACAAACTTAATAAATTTTGCGGATATATTTGGAAAAATTTAAACCTAAAGCAATGGTATAGCATTTAGTACAAGATCTCTGTTCAACCAAATGCTCAACATTGATCCGGCCCAAAATTATGGCAGTAGATTTTTATTATTTTCATTAATTACACAATACTATTCAAGAATATCCGAATATAGAAAGATTATAAACCTATTTAAAACAAGAAAACATACCAAACCTACATATTTAAGCTTAATTGACTATACAAGCGAATGATGAAAATTTAAACGAAAAACCATTAATTTTAGATGAAATTAAACTGTAATCAACTAATACCTTTACCTGGGTAGTATTATAAAGACAAATTCTGAGAGATAAAAAAAAACGATGACAAAACTCACAACCCCCTTACAAGTCCATCATTTGCAATCATACGGAACGATTCTCGCACATGAACAGACGAAATGCACCTATGTTTATTATGTGTTGTCAGGTATGCCGGAATGATAATAAGGCACACCAAGGGCACCTCTATAGAGCAAAAGTTCAAAACCTACCGGAAAATTTTTTTTGAATGGAAATTTTTGGGCGACTCCGCAACCGCCCCCCCCCCCTCGGGTCGCCAAAAAATTTTCGGTCAGTGTACCATTTTAGGGGTCAAAAAATTTTTCCCGACATACCAAATTTTTCTGTGAAGTCAAAAATTTTTCCGCAAATCTTACCTTTTAGCCATTTCTTCTAAATATTTTTCTAAATTCAAAAAATTTTCCAAAATCTTTATAAATATTAACTATAAATTACCTGAATCTCATCATTTTCTTACAAAAAGCATCGTTGGAAATGTGATTTATCACGTAATATTTTACAACTAAAAGGGCAGTTCTGGCCCCCCTGCCCCCCTAGCAAAAAGCAAGGGGGGCAGCCACCCCTGCAGTTCCGGCGTCCCTGTGTGTTGTTCCACAAGGTTCAGTATTAGGGCATTACTTTTCCTTTTATATATCAATGATATTAATAATTCCTCGAAAAAAATTAGTTTCTTTTTATTTGCTGATGATACAAATCTTTTGTATGCAGATAAAAATTTAAAGACACTCGAAGTCGTTGCAAATACTGAATTGAAAGTAATTGGTTAAAGGTAAATAAGCTATCTATCTTCCACTTGTATAAAAAATCTCTAAATTATCAACTGAATCTAAAAATATATGATTATAACAGTAACTCTTTCGTTTTCTAATTGATAAAAATCTGACGTGGAAGTATCATATCAGCCATGTTGCATATAAAATTAGTAGAACGATTAGTATTCTTGCCAGACTGCATCATTTCATTCCTTTGAGTGCCCTATTAAATATCTATAACACCTTAAAATACTCATTAAAAATTCATAAACCTTGTGGCAAATCATGTCAGCCATAATATGTCACGTGGAGTGGCTTTATATCTGATAAAATTCATCTTCATTAGTATTCTTTATATAATTCTTCATCCTAATTAGTATGATTATATAATTGTTCATCCTAATTAGTATTCTTTTGTAGTCGTATTTTAAGCTATTCGAAACACTCGAACTCGTGTTTTATCATATCTAAAACGCTCGGCTGCGCCTCGCATTTTAAATATGATAAAACACTCCTTCTTGTGTTTTAAATAGTACTTAATCTATACATTTCTTTCTTATGGTTTATGTGTTTGGGGACAAGCTTCAAAAACACATCTAAGATTTTATTTTACAAAAGCAAGCTCTTCGCCTTATGTATTTCATGAGCTATAGAGCACATACAATTCCTGCATTTGTCTCTTCTAAAATAATTCCCTTGAATATGCTCTATTTTAAATCATGCAGTTATGATCTTAATGCGTGATGTATTTAAATAATATTGCTCAAAAAAATATTTGGCTATTATATACAAGTCTAAGTAACATACATGATCATAATAACACTAGGTCTTTATCTGGCGATAATTTTTATGTCAATTACTCAAGATTAAATCAGCAAAAACAATCTTTCTCAAGAATCGGTGTAAGTATTTGGAACAGTATCCCCTGTTGAATTAAAAAAGCATTGTAAAACAAATTTAAAGTTCACGTTGCATAAAATATTATTGAAGGTTTTGGAATGTGAGGACGATTATGTTGATATGCCTAATCTGATTAAAATAATAAGCAGCTACTGTTAACCATTTTATATTATTTCACAGTAAGTGGATTGTTCTAAAATATCTGTTAAATCCGATCAGTTGATTATTATCTTTTCTTTCAAACAAACAAAAACAAATTAAAATTGCTCATAATATATGAATTCAACTTTCTGTAATAATATTACACACACTTTCTGCCTCGATTAACTTTTGCCAGCTGCAGAATTGTGTACATATTCTTTATATTATTAATAAATTTTTGTTGTTGTTCGTATCTGTAAACCTGCACTTATTCATTCTCGCTCCTAACTATAGGTAAGAATTAGTATAGCTATAGGAAATATAAGTTCAAAACCAAGTTATTCTTTCTTTTTGCCAAGTGAAATTCAAAGTTATTAATTTCAGTTACTTTCTTTTTTCCAAGTAAATTCAATTGAAATGCAAAGTAATTTAATGAATAAGCCATGAAACAAAAATGCACAAAAGTTCTAAGTCTGTATACTGTAAAAATTTGTCGACGTTTGAATTTCGCCTTGTGTTTCCTCGTAAATTTTGCCCAAAATATACATGTATATATTTAGTGGTTATATATTCCACGCTGGCACTGCAGACGAAACAGTTTCCTGGACAAGTTTTTAATATTTGACGGGTTGTACGATGAAAATTCCTTTACAAGAAGCCATGTTCAAAACCTAGTCATTGCTCTTGTGTACGGCTTTCAATTAAATGAAGGAAAATTTGACAACTAAATG